GGCTCAATCCCAGGACCCTGGGATCATGACCTGAGCCGAAGGCAGACGCTTAATGACTGAGCCACCCAGGCACCCCGAGTTTGGATACATTTTAAAAATTCTGATTAAAAAAAAAAAATCTCAGGGTCTCTTTTACATACCTGAGTGCTTCTCTGTATCCTCAGAGAAAGGTAAATAAGTCCTTTTGGGTAGTTATATTTTCTTTTTTTAATAAAAATTTTTATTTGAGAGAGAGAGCGAGCATGAGTGGGAGAAGCAGGCTCCCCCGCAGGGTTCCTGATGTGGGACTCGATTCCAGGATCCCAGGATCCTGACCTGAGCCAAAGGCAGACATTTAACTGACTGAGCCACCCAGGTGCCCTGGGTAGTTATATTTTCAAGTGGCCGGGGTTCTATCCACTCAGGAAGCTAAACATCATAAAAAGCTTTCTGAAATTAAATCACTTATTTTCTTGCCTCCTTTAACATGTAATACTGAACATTTTCAACGTTTTCCTGAAAACTCATCCTTAATGTGGGTGACACCATAAATGTGCTCCCGGGGTCTGAGTTGTGGGAGGCTCCTGGCCCCACACTGTGGTGCTTTTCCAGTTTACTAGTCAGAGAATGATTTTTTTTTTTAAAGATTTTATCTTTCCATCTGTCAGAGAGAGAGAGAGAGAGAGCACAAACGGGGAGCGGTAGGCAAAGGGAGAAGGAGAAGCAGGCTCTCTGCTCAGCAAAGAGCCCGATGTAGGACTTGATCCCAGGAGCCTGGGATCATGACCTGAGGCAAAGGCAGATGCTCAACTGACTGAGCCACCCATGAGTCCCCAGAGAATGATTTTTATTCCTCCCTGGGTGGGTGTTCTTGTGATTCAAATGGGAATCTCCCAGGGCCTTAGAAAGGAAATAATTAAACTAGTTAGCATTGTATGTAAAGTAAAAGTAAATAGGCCTGAAAAGCTAGACCACAAGGGAAGCGTTAAGAGCACAGATCTCCTAACTTACATTCTCCTGTTACAGCAGCCTGATTAAATCTTTTGTGTTGTGTCCCAGATAGGTGAGTGCATCAAACTGAGTTCCAAGTAAGTAAGATAGTGAAACTTTCATCACAAGAGATAGACGTGCATACACACACACACACACACACACACACAGGTTTTATTTTCTCACTGGTACTGACCTACCTTAAAGATTTCCACCCACACTAACAAATAATTTTACTTTTGAAGAAAGTAATTTTTTTATTTTATTTTTTTTAAGATTATTTATTTATTTGAGAGAGGGAGAATGAGAGAGAGAGTACACGAGAGGGGGTAGGTCAGAAGGAGAAGCAGACTCTCTGCTGAGCAGGGAGCCCGATGCGGGACTCCAGGATCATGACCTGAGCCGAAGGCAGTTGCTTAACCAACTGAGCCACCCAGGCGCCCCTTGGAATTTTTTTATTTTTTTTAAGAAAGGAAATATTTTATATTACCATTTAGCTTTTGCTTACATTTTTCTTTTAAGAGGTTTTTTTCCCCATAATGGAATGTGGTTTTTGTTCACCCATGGCAAAAGCCTTTGCTACTACACATTTGCATAGACTTGTCACTAATAAATCTTTAGTAAGAACATAACAGAACATGAGCATAACTCTGGAGGGATTTTAATGTTCCTGAGCCTTGGTTTCTTCATGTGTAAGATGCAGATCAGTAAAGATTAAAATGAGGTCCAATGGGGGAACCTGGGTGGCTTAGTTGTTTAAGTGTCGGCCTTCAGCTCAGGTCATGAGCCCAGAGTCCCAAGGAGGGCTCTGTGCTCGGCAGGGAGTCTGCTGGAGAGTCTCTCCCTCTCCAGCTGCCTCTGCCCACCGCCCTTCCCCCGCTATGCTCTCTCTCACTCACTCTCTCTCAAATAAATAAAAAAATATTAAAAGATAAAATAAGCTGAGGTCCTATGGTGTGGCAGGCTGTCTTAGTCCGTTTGGGCTGCTATAACAGAATACCATAGACTGGATAGCTTATAAACAGCAAAGATTTATTTCCCACAGTTCTGGGGGCTGGGAAGCCCAAGGTCAAGGCCTCAGCACATTCAGGGTCTGGTGATGTTCTGCTTCCTGGTTCACCGCCAGCTGTCTTCACTGTGTCCTCACATGGTGGGAGGGGCGAGGAGCTCTCTAGGGTCTCTTTTATAAGGGCACTAATTCCAGTCATGAGGCTCTGTCCTCATGACCCAACCCAGAGGCCCCACTTCCTAGCTCCATCACACAGGAGTTAGGATTCGCCATAGGAATTTTGGGGGCACATAGACATTCAGTCCACAGCACAAGCTCAGCACAGTAAAGACGTAAGATGGGTACTATTTGAACATGAATTCGATTGAAATTCAAGTGGAATGATACTAATAACCATGTATTTATGCTATAGCTTAAGAAAATTGTTCTTGGTCATCCCCTCATCTACCAGAAGGAATTAAAACCAGCCTGTTAAGTTGGCCTGACAGGACCACTGAATGTCTGGACTGGGAATCCACTATAGTCCCTCATTTCCACCCTCTCGTTTAACACGTGGGGAAACAGGTTCAGGGAGTTTGTGAAACTCACCCAGAGACAGAGAACGGAGATGCTGCATATCTGCATAGACTTGTCACTGAGAAATCTTTCTTTGGTAAGAAAAGGTTGCACTGAGCCAAGTGAAGGACCAGAGTTCTTTTCATTAACATGAACATCTTTTCATTTATGTGGTCGTTCACAATTTGCAAAGCACCCCCTCAGCCCCGTGACCTAGTTTATTACACTATATCCACGAACTTATGAAGATGGCCCCTTTTCCCTTCTTTTCCTTGGGAGAGTTTTTGCATTCTCAGACTTGTGCTGCAGCAGCTGAATCTATGCGGATGCTTCACTTAAAAAAAAAAATACACACACACACAATGAAATGAAATGTGTGCGTATGTCCCTATATACGTCTCTCTGGAAGAAACATCACGTCTCTCTCGAGTCTTGTGCAGTTCACAGCCTGGCAGACACGAATGCAGAGAGAGAATGATCTTTGAGAATTCCTGAATGTCACTGACACTTTAATAATAAAGGGCTTAGGAATGTTGACATTTTCAAGAGGCGTGGCAACATTTATAGGCAACTCTTTAATGAGTCTTATTTGGGGACAGAAAGGGGAGGTCGGCCAGTCCCCTTCATGTGGTTTTACGCAGTTAAGTCCTGCAAAGGACGAAGAGTGAAATCAAGTCATTTCTCCTCCTGAATTTTTCCTTCTTATTTTTCTTTGTTGTAAGGTTATATATAAATGTACAAGGATAGGGACATTATAAAACAGAAGGGATATCCTGTGAGGGAGGAAATCAGACAATAAATCCAAAAACACTATGGAAATTACAAATCCGAACTTGGGGGAGGGTGGGAGGCAACACGCTCTTTCACATAGCTCTTCCTTACACGCCATGCAACTGTCCTCCAAAGCGGGAATGGAACAGACCAGACACTCAGCTGCAGGACGGAGCTGGGGTCTGGGCTTTAGAGCTGTTCATGTCTTTGGGATGGGGCTGGGCATCAAGCGCCTTTTCCGGAATAGGCCAGAGAAGATAAGTCCAGTTTGGTTTTTAAGGCTTTAGTCAGCTCCGTGGCCAGCAGCTCGTGGAGGGACATGCCGTCATGCGCGTACACCCAGTTCTTCCCTGTCCAGTCATAGCGTTTGGGCCCGCTGCAAGACAAAATAAATAGGCAGGAAGTCCACGACGACAGCCCTTGAGGACAGGTAGTAAATGCTGACTCCACAATGCTGCCACCAAGAAACTGACCAGAAGAAAGGTCCTTTCAAAGTCAATTTAACAAGGCATACATTTGACTTCTTGTCCTGGGGTCTTTCTGTGTAAGAATAAGTACCCAGTTTATCCCCTGCAACAATTTGACAGAACAATTCTCAAGACCTGAAAACATCTGAACCCTCTCGATGAGTCTCTGTAAAGCACATTCTGAGCTTTCACTTTCCTGAACTCACAGAGGGTACCTGCTATGTCCGAGCAGCGTTGTTAAAATGATGGCCATTCGTGTACCACTCACATGATTTGTCCCTTACCTATATTATTATTATTTTAGTACATTCATAACAAGTGCAACTATTACCTCTCCCTACCAAAACACTTCATCACCCCAAAAGGGAACTCTGTGCCCATTGAGCAGTTACTCCCCACCCTCTCCTCTCCCCAGCCCCTGGCAATCACCTATACTTTTTTTTTTTTTTTTAATATATTTTTTCTTCGGACGTCTGGCTGGCGCAGTTGGTTAAGCGTCTGCCTTTGGCTCAGGTCATGATCTCAGGGTCATGGGATTGAATCCCACATCGGGCTCCTTGCTCAGCGGGAAGCCTGCTTCTCCCTCTGCCTGCCACTTCCCCTGCTTGTGCTCTCTGACAAATAAATAAATAAAATCTTTAAAAAGAAAAAGCAATGCAGTCCTATGAAAGGTTATTTTGGATGTGAGAAGTTGAGTGGAAAATAAATTTTTTTCTTGAGGAACACAGTATCTGTGATAGTAAATGGCTGCTTAGCAGATTTTCTTTCCAGATTCCCATCATGAATTACAGATTAAACAAGCCTGGGGTAGGATCATATTGCTGGTAGGTGTGTCCAAACACAATATGGACTTTTTTGGTCTCCAGATATGACAGGGAATTCCTTCAGTGGAACCATGATAGATGGTTCCGGTGCCCTGCCTGGTATTTATACAGCCACCAATCCCCAAAGGTGATGGCTGGGTTTGAACTGACCCACCCAGTTTCTCATATGGTTCCTCCAGAGGTAAAGGGTAAGAATGTACAGTCCTCATGCATGGCTCTGGTTAGGGTTGGGACAACTGTTTGAGGCCAAAGAGAACAGGCTAATTGGCCCGCATAGGATAAAACACCCAAGATTAAATTAATTGGGTCTAAAAAAGCAATGCAATCTATTAAGGGTCTTGCTAGAAATGGGTGATTTCTGGAGTTGTTTGTTGAATTATAACATACTTCCTAGAAGAAGTTGGGGCAAAGGAGGAATAACGCTTTACTTATTTGAACAAATAATTACACACCATGGCATGATAAACAGTATAATATTAACTGCCTAAAAATGATGTGAACATTGGGGCAGAAGAAGAGTTACAATTTATTTTTTTTTAGATTTATTTATTTATTTGAGAGAGAGAGCGCGCACATCAGGGGTGGGGCAGAGGGAGGAGAGGAAAAAATCTCAAGCAGACTCCCTGCTGAGTGCAGAGAGGACTTGGGGCTCGATCTCACTATGGAGATCATGAGCTGAGCCCAAATCAAGAGTTGGATGCTGGGCGCCTGGGTGGCTCAGTTGGTTAAGCGACTGCCTTCGGCTCAGGTCATGATCCTGGAGTCCCGGGGTCAAGTCCCGCATCGGGCTCCGTGCTGAGCAGCGAGTCTGCTTCTCCCTCTGACCCTCTTCCCTTTCATGCTCTCTATCTCTCATTCTCTCTCTCTCAAATAAATAAATAAAATCTTTAAAAAAAAAAAAGAGTTGGATGCTTAACTGACTGAGCCACCCAGGCGCCCCTATAATTTTTTTTTTTTAATGTAAATACCATTGGGCTTTCAAAGAACTGCATGCTGATTATATTTGGGCCTTTCCTAATGCACAGTCAGTATGTTGTCTTTGGAAGTAATGAGTGACCCAGGAAGGCTGGTCTGAGAGCTTTTTGTGAGTGTCTCTCTATAACTCCTTTATAACGACCCCGACAGAGGCAGGCCGATGAGGGGCTCTCTCTTTCTGCACATTCTCAGGCCTTGAGATGCAGCGCAGGCGGCCTCCAATAAATCATTTATTCCACGAGATTGAAAGCACATCAGTGATAAACACAGGAGGGATTCAAATCCTGGAGTCCCAGCTTAAGAGGCTCTCCCCCACCCTCCACAGGCCAGGCAACCAATTTCGCAGAGAGAATTCAACCAACCTTTAGTGAGATGCTCAAAACAAACCAGAGGTCAAACTTTAACCTGCTTTGAAGACAAAGGGCAACTCGTTCCGAGGCTGCAGCATCAAAAGTGGCTTTTTAAAAGGCAGGGCAATGCCAGGCCAGGTTCTGAAAAGTTACAAACTTTTTGCTTCAGATCTACATCCCAGTATCTGCTTGCAGCATCCGGATTACTGGTAGACCGAAGTTACTGAAGCACACGGTTAACTGGCCTATGAGGATGGGGTGAGTGTGAAGCATCAGGTGTGCTCACAGACACCCACCCATGAGGTGACCTTCCTTTTAAAGGGTCCACAGCGCCACACCTCCCACAAGCTGAACAAAGACAGATGGGGACTTCTGGACATACCTGGAGGGTGAAGATAACCAGATCTGCTTGTTTGGGGTCTGCTTGTTGATCACGTAGGTTCCTAGATCTCCACCCAGTTTAACTGTTAAAACACCACTCTGGCGGATCAGGTGGCAAAAGCACGAGGAAAAGAGAACAAGACAAAGTTACCACTTGGTCACAATTGCTAAACTGCTTCTATCTCGACGTTGATACACAAGACACACCGTGAAGGAGCGCCTTTCGTGTTAGACACGGCAGATCACGCAGAAAGCACACTGCTCTGCATCAGACTATGATTAATCACATAATACTTAGACCTCGTAGTGCTCTCCCTCATTCCCTGGGAGGCTGGCGAGGGGAGAATTCTCACTGTTCCCGTCTCGAGGTGAAAAGACAGCAGTGGCTTGTCTGAGGAGTGGAAGCCGGCCAACAGCAGGCCTCGCATCCTGCCCGCTGCCTCAGTTCCCTCAAAACCCAGCCAGAACGCACAAAAGGATGTTAAAAAACGCAGACCCCAACTCTACCGGAGTCCCACGTCAGCCCAAACATCAGACAGGGCACGTTCATTACCAAAACAACGAAAAAAGGCAAAAGAGAAGGAAGTGGTCAAACCACTGGCTTTGCTGGTCTTAGAAGAGCCATAAAGCCAGCTCTGCTGGTAGAAGGCCAGCGCTCCAGACAGTTTTTATCCTCAGACCCTTCCCCCGCATCTCACAAGCTGCTCTCAAGGGCTTTATCTTCCCCTAAAGAGCCCTGAATTCTCTAAAAGACCGGTTGGTCCATCTTTGCTCAATAAATGCTCATTTAAATTTGAAAACACTCTTTCAACAAAGGAGCCCTTTACTCCCAAGGTCTGAGGTTTCTTTAGAATGCGCAGAATATTATAGAAGCAGCCACACAGCTCAGTCCCTTTATTGGAGCTGGTGTGCAGGAGGCAGCCCCTCGCTGTTCCCCACCCCTGGCATAAGCCACGGGAGACACACCACTGCCTTTCTCTGAGCTTCTAGAGCCCCTGTACGTTCAGGAGGCCCCGGATGTTTCTTAGAACACTTTGTGTTTGCTTTGCAAACACAAAGAGCTATTGAAAAGGTAAATGCAGTGATAATAATAATGTATAATAATGGTAATATAACTGACAGGCAAGAGAGGACTCTATTGGGTTATACTTTCTTTTTTTAAATTTTACTTATTTATTTGAGAGACAGAGAAAAAGATCTTATCCGTTCTTGAGAGAGTGAGTGAGAGCGAGCACAAGCAGAGGGAGGAGCAGAGGGAAAGGGAGAAGCAGGCTCCCCTGCTGAGTAAGGAGCCCAATACGGGGTTCAATCCCAGGACCCTGAGATCATGACCTGAGCCGAAGGCAGACGCTTAACTGACTGAGCCACCCAGGAGCCCCAGCAACATTTTTTCTGATTAAAAAGAAAAAGAGGGGCGCCTGGGTGGCTCAGTCGTTGGGCGTCTGCCTTCAGCTCAGGTCATGGTCCTGGGGTCCTGGGATTGAGCCCTGCATCGGGTTCCCTGCTCAGTGTGGAGTCTGCTTCTCCCTCTCCCACTTCCCCTGCTTGTGTTCCCTCTCTCGCTGTGTCTCCCTCTGTCAAATAAATGAACAACAACAAAAATCTTTAAAAAGAAACAAAGAGAAATTATATGGACATCAGGAGTACGGAGTGTAAATAAAATGAAAACATCAATAAAAATATTAACGACTACTGCCCAGTACCTACTCTGTGCCAGGCACTGTATTTGGCACTTTGTGTAAAACTGTTTCCACTGTGACCATAACCATCAGAGGTGGGTATCATTATCCCAGTTTTACAGATGAGGGAAACAGGGACAGAGTAATAAAGAATACCTAGTGACTGGCAGAGCTGATCTTAAATCCAGGTCTGTCTGGGTCCAAAAGAAGCTGTTTTTGCTATGACCCAAGTGCTCTCTCAATCCCATTAACCAGCGATACAAGCTGTCCACCCTCAGGTACTGGCTGCCAGTCTTTAAATGCATTTCTGAAAAGGGCTGGGATCACAGTGTACCTAAGTTTGTTTGTTTTTCTTTTTAAAGTTTATTGTTATTTTTTTAGTAATCTCTGCATCCGATGTGGGGCTCGAACTCACAACCCTGAGATCAAGAATCACATGCTCCACTTACTGAGCCAGCCAGGCGCCCCATAAGTTTGTATTTTAAAAAACTTTTCTTGAGGGCGCCTGGGTGGCTCAGTCAGTTAAGCGTCTGCCTTCGGCTCAGGTCATGATCCCAGGGTCCTGGGATCGAGTCCCAAATTGGGCTCCCTGCTCAATGGGGAGCCAGCTTCTCCCTCTCCCTCTGCCCCTCCCCCTGCTTGTGCTCTCTCTCTCTCCCCTTCTCAAGTAAATAAATAAACAAAATCCTTAAAAGAAATTAATTAATTTTTTTCCTTGAAACCCACCTTTACTATTTTGGTAAGACTACCACCTTTCATTTACTTAGAAGTGTCTTGAGGTACCTGGTAGCACAGCAGGTTAAGCGTCCGACTCTTGATTTCAGCTCAGGTCATGATCTCAGGGTCGTGAGATCGAGCCACCGTGTCATTGCGCTCTGTGCTGGGCATAGAGCCTGCTTAGGATTCTCTCTCTGCCTCCTTCCCTCTGCCCCTCCCCTTTCCTTTAATTAAAAATTTTTTTCCCTCCACCCCTTAAAAAAAGATCTTAAAACTGCACAATTCAATAGTTTTAATATTTCACAAAGTGTTTTCATAAAGTGTGCAAACATCACTAATTCTCGGCTATTTCCACCACCCCAAAGAGAAACCCCACACCCATCAGCAATCCTTCCCCATTCCTTCCTGCCCCCATACAAACTTCCATGGCTTCTTTTTCCATGAGATAGCAGGCTCAGAGGATCGAGACATAATCATTTCCAGTTTAACCTATTTGTGGTCCTTCAGTGCCCCATTGTGCCTTCCCCCGCTCACGTGGCGAGGTGCAGGCGCAGTGGAGAGGGCAGAGGGCGGGGTCTGAGTCATATCAACCCTGCCACCTTCCTCAGGACAACATGGGTGCTGCCTCCTTCAGAGACAAAGTACAAGGATTGAGGGGCATGGGTGCTCAAGGGTTGTGTACTCTCCTGATCACGGTCACGCCCTAGAACAGGATGCCAAATCAGGGATGGCACATCCAATCACTGAAAGCCAAAATCCACTCTTTCCAACTCAGAAGAATCTTCTGGAATTATTCCAGGAAACCGGCCACTGGTTCACAAAGAGCCTATTAAAAAAGCAACCATGAGATTTCCTCTAGATGTGCAAACCTCAAGCTGTCTCCTCCACCTGGCTCCTTCCCTGCAGCACCCCTCCCCGCACAAGACTGAGACCCCAGCTGAGGCACCCCTGATGAGGTTACTCTGACCCCCCTCCCCCCCGCCATGGCCCCTGTGCCTTCCTCCCTGCATCTGAGCTGCCCGCTTGTTTGCCGGACACCTGCCCCCTCCCCTCCACTACTCTAAGCGCCTTGACAGCAGATCTGTCTTTTCATCCAAGCACTTTGGTGTCCAGCACATCCATTCTTAGTGCGAGATACTGGATGGACACAAATGACATCTGTGGAGGAACGAAGGGAGCTGACAGTGACCAGGGCTGGTGATAACTCAATTCGTGCAAAGTTAAGGGCAAGGTTACACAAGGCAGTCTCAATACTTAGCCAAACCCCCTCCTGTTCATTGTGTGTCATTATTTTTTCCCATGGAGCCAGAGGCTGTTTCCAGAGGAAACCGGCCAGAGGAGGAAGGAATGGAAGGAAATGAGCTGCTTACTGGTTCACCAGGAGTTCTCAATGCTCTTGGAACTATCCAAGAGTAGCCTAGATGAGGAGGGCTTTTTGTTCATTAGTATTATTCCTTAAGGGCCACCCTGAGGCTATTTTGGGAGTGTGGGCAGACTTAAGTGCCGGGGAGGGGAAGGGGAAGGGAGGGGAGTCAAAATCATCAGTAGCTGCAGACGGGCACTAACCAGTCAGAACAGCCCCTGTCCACAGCTTGGTGGAGGCTTATTCCCGCCAGTCTGTATCAGCCCTACACACTCGGGAGCAAAAGGAGCAATTTCTGTTGTCACTAGCTCGTTTTGTAGAAATAGACACCTATGGGATGGCATTTTGAGTCAGGCGAGTTCAGGTACATGTGGCTTCCCACACTCCAAAAAGAGATACCCCTCTTAAGGAGTAAGAATAATGAATGTGAAGCCCTTTTCCAATTTAATCCTAATGGAAATTCGGAGAAGTAGAGGGATGTCACCCACTTCCCAGCTGAAGAACCTGGCCCTCACAGAAGTTAAGATAATTCACTTACAGACTCTTGGACAGAAAATACAAATCCAGGATGATAGGCTAGATGCTTTGTCTCCATATCCAATAAAATGCTGCCTCTGAGCAAGTGTCGATAACCTGGGACCCAGAGGTGGTCTTCAGGGGTCTGCAGATTGTCCCGGCCTGAAGCTGAAATTGTACACACAGGTGTATGGGGAAGGTTTTCTTGGGAGAAGGTCCAGGAAAGGTTAAGGAACCTCTGCTATATGGCATTGATAGGCCGACAGCTTAGTGAGTAAAGAACATGACAGCAGATTCTCATTAAAACGTCAAAGAGGCCAGGGCTCCACTGGGGAAAAACGAAGGTGGCTTGGAAGTAACCCTCAGACAGCAGAGTCCTTCTCACTGTCCTGGTCAGATTTTGCCGATCAAGTGCAGCTGACTCCATGGATCCTAGTGATGGGACATGCTTTCTGCTCTGGTGGGCAGTCCCCTCTAATGGCAGGGCCAGTGCGGGTGAGGCCTGGACCCTGACACTGACCCCCCCCCCAAGTTACCCACCCCACACGACAGCCAAGGAGTGCTCACATTTCCCACTCCACAGGGAGCAAACAGAACAAACATGTTCTTGGGTCTATCTGGAATACTGCTGTCAGTTGTCTACTTGGCCAGGACCAAGCTGGTAAAATGCCTGTGATGCTGAGTGGTATCAGTGAGAGTGTGTGTGGGCCCCATTTCATTTATGTACTGAATCAACATTTATTAAGTCCCTATCATGTACTTGGCAATGTTTCAGGCACTGGGATACCAAGAGTGGACAGTGTCCTAGCTGCCAAAGAACTCAGTCTCACCATGGGAGCTGATGTGTAAATCGACAGCTAGTACACGGGGTGATCAGTGCTCTACAGACTCATCCTTGGAGTGCTGGGCAAGGAAGTAAGCATGCTATCTGCCTGGAGCATCTAGGACTTCCCAGAGGAGGCAATGCCCAACTGGACCCTGGGGACAGGGAAAGACTGCACCCCAACAAAGCTCAAGTAACAGTGTTACGGGTATTCTCTTGCCTATAATGTAGTTTCAATAGATTTGTGAAATGTAAGTTAGCTAGCACCTGAGAGACTCTAATCAGGAATTCACACCCCAGGGTAGATAGCATTTCAAAGTTCTTTTTTTTTTTTTTTTAAGATTTTATTTATTTATTTATTTGAGACAGAATGAGGGAGAGAGAGAGAGAGCACATGAGAGGGGGGAGGGTCAGAGGGAGAAGCAGACTCCCTGCCGAGCAGGGAGCCTGATGCGGGACTCGATCCAGGGACTCCAGGATCATGACCTGAGCCGAAGGCAGTGGCTTAACCAACTGAGCCACCCAAGCACCCCAGCATTTCAAAGTTCTTAATCAGAAATCCCAACAACAGAGTCAGCTACTGTATGCCTTTAGTTTCTACATCTATACTAGAGAATTTCCTAAGTAGTAAATGATTTGTTAGAAATAATTTTTCCCTGGTGAGGAGAATGACACTTAAGGTATATGGACTGGCTAGAAAAACACAGGTGCCTCTTCCCTTTGCAGGAATGGGTTACAGAATCTGGAAACCCCAGCAGCTAGGTCAGTGAGAAACACTCTGCAGGAAGGATTCAGGTAAGATCCTGTGATCCACCACTGAGCAGGAGCATTTTTTCTTTTAAAGATTTATTTATTTATTAGAAAGAAAGAGAAGGAGAGAGAACGGGTGGAAGGGGCATAGGGAGAGAGAGAGAATCCTCAAGCTGACTCTTCGCTGAGTGCGGAGCCCGATGCGGGGCTCGATCCCAAGGACCCTGAGATCGTGACCTGAGCCGAAACCAAGAGTCAGCCACTCAACCAAGTGAACCACCCAGGTGCCCCTGAGCAGGAGCATTTGCTGCTAGATTCCAGGGGCTAAACAGAATCCAGCTGCTAGAACACTGGCACATTTGCTTCTAATGAAACACCCATGCAAAAATACTTGAGTCACTAAGTATTCTCACTAATGTTACAAGAATGAGTGGTGTGACTGTTTGGTGGCATGTTAATGAATGGTTGTATGCATGGCTGAGTTTAGCCGGAGACTTGGTTTCCCTGTAAGTACAGCTAGCCCCTCGTGGGGAGGCTGGGGGAGAGGAGACCTGTAACTCCCCCGGCTCCACCATTCCACAGACAGTCAAGCTGGGGGAGCCAGTTAGTAAGGGTTCCCAGCAGCTTGCAACACTTCGAATGCCCTGCCCCGAACGATGATGATCACAGCAGTCCCTGAATCCACCTGGAAGGCATCCAACCCTTTCTTGCCCCGTTGCCTTAAATTTGACCTCCAAGTCCCTCACTCTCCTTACAACCAGGCTTGAAATCTTCCAGACTCTGGTACCTGCTCCATCTGATGGAGTCCCTTCTCTGTCCACAGTAATATCCAACAGCATTTCTATCACGTTAGCCTGGCAGCTGGTTGTCCTAATAATTCCACTTCATAACATTTCTGACTATTAATTAATTGCCATCAAGAGGATTAATTTCCATGGGGGATTTTCTGGCAAAAAAGCAGCAGCTCCCTAAGGTGTAAACAGCATTCTGAAGGCAAAGGTGGACCCCTACTCAAGTCTGCCACTTGGTGGCCAGTCGATGTAGAGCAGCACTCCCTGGGCTTCGGGGCTCCGCGGCTCCCCCCTAGGAGCATTTAGGATCATCGGAGGAGTGATTACGAAAACTTAAAAAATTAACTCCCCTGTCCTGCTTGGGACATGCTCCCAGACCAACTAAAGAAAAATAGCGGTGGGACTCAGGGTGCACATTAGAATCCCAGGTGAGGTTTTCAAAAATATGCTTCCTGAGAGTACACCCTGACCTGCCGATCAGAATCTCCCAGAAGTGGGGCCCACGTCTGTGTGCTCTGAACACACCCTGCTTAAGGAGGAGTGGTTCAGGCCTCCCCATGCCCCCAGGAGAGTCATCCTGCTAGACACACACAGGTCTGGGTCCCTCCCTGATTTACCTTCATGAGTACTGAGTGGTGCTTGAGAACCTGTATTTTTAAGCAGAAATGGGGCTCACAAAGGCTGTGACTTGCCCAAGGTCACAAGCCTGGTGGGGCAGGGCTGGAACACCAACGTGCCAGTCTTTGGGTCCCACCCGTAACTGCATGCTGCTGGATGCTTAACTCCACTGGAGGGTAATTCTTTGCCTTAGTGAGATAGAATTCTTAGGGAGGAAACAGAAAAAAATGAAAATAAGCAAAAAGGTACCCCAAACGAGACGTCATAGTCTTCGAATGTGTAAGGTTTGTCTGCGAGGTCTTCGAAAAACTCTGCTAAGGAGTCCAGTGTCTTCTCCGCCAGTCTTTCATAGGTCGTCTCATCCAGAAAGCTGCAGGGGAAACATAAAAACCCCCAAAACACACGTTTACCAAACTGCTCCATTTCATTAATGTCAAACCCACACATCTATTTATTTACTTACTTAATTTATTTTTAGTAAATACGCCCAATGTGGGGCTTGAACTCACGACCCAGAGATCAAGAGTCGAATGCTCCACAGGCTGAGCCAACCAGGCCCCTGACACATCGGGTTTTTACTTAAAAAATTCATGGGAAATAGCTACCATGTACAGAGAAAATATTTAATCAGCGTGAGAGTTTATATAGGGGCACCTAGGTGGCTCAGTCGGTTGAGCCTCTGCCTTCAGCTCAGGTCATGATCCCGAGGTCCTGGGATGGTGTGTTGGGCTCCCTGTTTAGTGGGGAGTCTGCTTCTCCCTCTCCCCCTGCTTATGCGCACTCTCTCTGTCAAAAATCAATGAATCAACCTTAAAAAAAAAAGTTTATAAAGAAACCTTTCTTCCCAAATAAGCAGCCCCCATCCACAGAGTCAACTACAAATAACAGTCTCTTCTGTATCCATCCAGAATTTTATATTATTTTTAATATAGAAATTGAAGTACCTTGCAGGTTTTATTTAACATATCCTGGAAATTGTTCCATATTAGCACATACGGATTTTCCTGGTATTTTATTTTATTTATTCAACCTGACCCCTTCAGCTGGACATTGTGCTTATTAAAATTGCGTGTATTATCATTAAAATTATGTGTTGGGCAAACCACAAAGTGGGAGAAAATATTTGCATTACATGTATCTGAAAAAGGGCTTATTTCCAGAATATATGAAGAACAAAAAAAAAAGAACTACAAGTCAAAAGAAAAAGAAAACCCAATAGAAAAAATGGGTAAAATACTTGAACAGATATCATTTTAAAAAACATATCCAAATGGCCAGTGGACACATAACAAGGGGTATAACTTTATTAATCTTCAGGAAAGTACACATTAGCCACCAGAATGGCTAAAATGAAAGAGACATGACATCAAGAGTTGGCCCAGAAGTGAAGCAGCCCCTCTCCACTGGATGTGTGTGTGCACGCACACATGTACACGTGTGTATCACGGTCAGAGAAGACAATCCTAGACCTTGAGAGAGGACGGCGTGTCACCTGGAAATCTTGGCCTTTGGGGTGGATGACAGACTGTATGGGCCTGTGGTGGCAGCCTTGGGGTTAGGGGCTAATGTGCTGTGTGTGTGTGTGTGTGTGGAAGGAAGGTCCATGGAGACATCAGACTAGCAATGCCGGGGAGCTCTGCACCAGAACCCACTGCTTCTTTCCAGGGCGCCCACTAGGCTCTATTTCCCAGCATCCCCTGGGGTCAGCTGGGGTCATGTGACCCAGTCCCTCCCACTAAAATCCGAGTGAGGGACAAGTGCCTCTTCCAAGACGTCCATGCTCTTGCACCTTTCTGTGGAATGGAACCCGGGCAGGGTGACCTGGCTTCTACCGTATAGAGGACAGTAAGGTACGGACAAGTGACAGGAAGGTGGAAGGACCCTGGGTGCCTGAATCCCTGCCCAGAGGCATGCCCACCCTGGACTCTTGGAACACAGGGACACAAACCACTGCTGGCTTGAGCCATCACAGTTGTGGGCCTCTCTGTCACAGAGGCTTGGCCGACCCGAACTGCTAGGTCATCAGAGTAACAACAGAACTCTGGAAACAACCCAAATGTCCAGCAATAGGGGATGGGTTAAATGAACTATGGTACATCCATCAAGTTTAATATTATTTTATTTAAAATAATGTGGCAGAGGGGCGCCTGGGTGGCTCAGTTGGTGAAGCGTCTGACTCTTGATTTCAGCCCATGGCTTGATCTCAGGGTCGTGAGTTCAAGCCCCGTGTTGGGCTCCACACTGGGGCAGGAGCCTACTTAAAAATAAATAAATAAATAAAATAATGTGGTAGATAGTTATTGATACGGAAAGATGCTTATGAGTGCTGCTGCTAAGGGAGAAGACAGCTTTTGGATGGGATGGGCTTTTTTTTCTTTCTTTTTTTAAACCGGTAAGAGAAAAGGAAAAAAAATTTTAAAAAGCTAATAGAAGTGGCACCTGGGTAGCTCAGTCGTTACACGTCTGCCTTCGGCTCAGGACATGATCCCGGGGTCCTGGGGATCGAGTCCCGCATCGGGCTCCCTGCTCAGCAGGAAGCCTGCTTCTCCCCCTCCCACTCCCCCTGCTTGTGTTCCCTCTCTCACTGTGTCTCTCTGTGAAATAAATAAATAAAATCTTTAAAAAATAAAAGCTAATAGAAGTATGAGCAGGTATGCACATGTTGTGTATTGAGAGAGAGAAGGAGGGAGCGGGGAGAAGGGCTCTCCGATGTGGAAGGGGCTTTATCTTACCCAGGGTCGCCCAAAGTTCCCACTGTCCTCATATTCATCAAACAGACGCTCTGCTTTTTGACATTCACGATCTGATCGAGGCGGTGGAGGCTCAGACTCTAAAAGCCAAAGTGAAGAACATGACCATTTTTCAGTGCATTACGGTCCCTGAACGCACGGTTTAAATAGCACCACTTCTGCATTCGGGAATAAACCATGTTAAATTTTTCCAGGAGTGTTTCTGGGATGTTTTCACCTTATTTTAATGCATTACCTTGCGTTCATTCTCTTGGGCTCTCTCTAAGCCTGTGCTGTCCAATATAATAGCCCCGAGCCACAGGCAGCTCTTTACATTTAAATTTATTGTCACTTCCCATCACTTCCCACTAAAATTTGAGTGAGGGACAAGCACCACTTCCAGGACTCCCATGTTCTGGAAGGCCACGTTTCAAGTGTCCTGTGGCCTCATGTAGCCAGTGGCACATAGAATGGAGTCACCATCACGGGAAGCTCTATGGGCAGCACTGCTCCAGGCTATTCTGTGGTGTTTAGCATAGGCCAGGCGCGCGGAAGCATCAGCAAAGCTCCTGGAATTTGACTAATGCAAGCAACAATGAACAACAAGAGGCAGATGTATGCTGATGTCCAGAAGAGAGGATCGGACTGCGGATGGACAGGTTTCATTAACATGACCTGTGGGAGATAATGTGACCTGTTGATTTCTTCCAACACATAATTGGAAGAGGGTCCAGGCACTCGTCTCTGGGGCTGCCAGCTCTACTGACCAGCTGGAGAGACAGATGACATAACCAGAGGACAGTGACAATCACCGAGGGGACGCTGGCTGAGGGACCTGCCCCAGTGAGGGAGGGGACGGAGCCCGTAAAAGGAGAGAAAAGTGGCACATCAGAGTGGAGATGTCAGGGGACAGGATGGAGAGATGGCCACGGGGCCTTGTAAAGGCTCTCAGCTGGACTTCATCCTGGGAAGGCACCCAAGGGCTGGAAGGGGTTGGTAGTAAGATTCACCTTCTCCAAAGGTCACTCTGGAGCAGGGCTCAGAGGCCGCTGTTCTCTTGAGCCATCAGTGCCCTTGGCAGGCTCAGAAAAGAGAAGGCAGAGGGCACGGGGCTGAGAAGTGAGCAGAAAAGGGGGAAACGGGTGCAGAGCACAGAGGGTGTGATTTTAAAAGGCTGGCTCCGAAGGAGAAGGAGAGAGCCAGCATGATAACCAGTTATTGCTATTGCACATTCTAGAGTGTTCCCTATCTGCTGGGTGTTGCTGCTCTCAATCTTGATAGAAATGGATGTGGTTAGTCCTCATTACAAGCCTGTGAAGCAAGTACTATTATTATAGTGGTTCCTTATGACAGTTTGTTCTGTAAAGTCACCATAAACAGGAGGTTAGTGAAATGCTCTTACGGGAAATACAGGCTTAGGTTCCTGCAGGCTTCAGGTCACATGTGACCAGCTGATCCATACATAACTTCGTTTACATGCGTTTCTGCTTAAAGACATCTTGTTTAATATACATTGTTGATACATGAACACTGAGCTCGGGGTCAACAGCGCCATAACTGAGGCTGGAATGAGGCTGATCTAACACACGTGTTTTGTCCGTTAAGGCCCGCCACAGCCTTCTCACACCTAGAACGCTAGACAGCACTCCAGCCCTATGCTCCAGGGCCATTTTAAATAGTAAAATCACCAACCAAAAACACAAAAATGCAAACAACGTGCCACTAACTAGGTGGTAGAAAGGACACTTGACCCCGTGGGAGCTGAGAGAAGACAGAGTGTCACCTTGTTTAGCCTTGGTGGGAACACGCAAGCATGGGGTGACTCTAAGTTTTTGCTGCTCTGTGTGTGTCCCAGAGTGACCGTGAAATCCACCCTGGGTATTGATTTTGGAGTTACAGATAAATTTTACTGAGTAGGTGAATTCACAAGTCCAGGATCCATGAAACATGAGAATAGGCTGTATTTGTATTCTATGGATGAGGAACCGGAGCAAATCACTCGATACGTGGAGGAGTGGAGATCTGAACCCACACCCTCTGGCCCCAGGGCCTGGGCCACAAAGGAAAAGAATCACACACCTGGGAATTGTACAGGGTTTCAGACATGGAAGCGAAGTTTGAGAATTAGGGGCTCAGAGTTTCCCTCCCCTCCAGGATCCTGGCCTCTCAAATCCTAGTTGTCATAGTCTGACACCTTCGCATAGACTTTTTCCTGTTTCATTTTTGGTTTTGACTTTTATATCTTGGATGGCTGTTCTTGGTGGGAGGTTTGTGCTAATGCAAGTTACTCATAGTCAGAAGTAGAAGTCTACATCCGGCTGTTTTTAATCATCAAAGGAACTGCTGCCAAAGTTGCTGGTCTCTTACCTGTTCTCCCCCAAGCTAACATTCCCTGGGTACCTGCTTACCCTTTCCGAGGCCCCGAAGGCAGGGGTCACAGTACCCACCACGCAGACTGGTGATGAGCACCAGGAGGACACAAATACCCCAAACACAGGGCTGGAGGATGTGTCCAGTCAATTTCGGTTTTGGAGCATGTCAACAATAGTGTGGAGAGGCGGAGGGTGAGGCCCGGCCTGGGTGGCTAGAAGGGAGGCCAGGCCTCACCCCAGGGGTCCCCTCTGCAAAGCACAAAGCTGCAAAGGCTGGAAGACTGAGTCAGTTCTCACCCACCGTTGGGAGGTGATGGACTGGTACAAACATTCTTGGCATCAAATGAGTTGAATATTTGCTGGCCCCTCGCCTAGCAATGCCATTCTGAGGAATTCGGCCACAGAGAGCCTCTGTCCATGCACAGGAACGCCTACAGCAGCACCATCATGCCACCAGCACCATGGTGGTCACGCAGATGTCACCAGGAGACTGGATAAAGTGTGATGGGCTCACCCAATGGCATACTACCCAGCAGAGAAAACGAATAAATGACAACTGTGTGCATCAGTGTCGATGAGCCTCAAAAACAACACTGAACACAAGAAACAAGTCACAGCACAATAAATGCAGCAAAATTTTTTTTCTATCAACAGCACATGCTTTAGGGAGACATACATAGGGGGTGACACTCTAGGAAAAGGAGGGGATGCCCGACAGAATTCAGGAGAGCAGATTCCCCTCAGGGAGGCCCAGCGGTAATCGGGAGAGCACCAGAGCCCTCCGGGGGACAGGTCATATTCAGTCTCTTACTCTGGTGGTGAGGATGTGGCAGTGTGTCATTAGTCTTTAAACAGTACAGATTTTTTTTTTTTTTTAAGATTTATTTGTCAGAGAGAGACAAAGCACAAGCAGGGGGAGCGGCAGGCAGAGGGAGAAGCAGACTTCCTGTTGAGCAGGGAGCCCGATGCGGGACTTGATCTCAGGATCCTGGGATCACGACCTGAGCCGAAGGCAGACGCTTAATGACTGAGCCACCCAGGTGCCCAACAGTACAGATATCTTATATACACTTTTCTATGTATAAATTCATGCACATTGTCTGCGGAAGACAATAAAAACTAATTTAAAGTGAATTAGGGCAAAACCTGCTTGCCAGGCCTGAGGCCAGAAGACCATGGGGTCCTAGGTGACGATCTTGTCCCTGCACGAAAATTCATGGGTGTCTGCGAGCCTTTCGAGGTCTTCAGATGTGGCTGCAGCAGGGGCTTATGAAGTTAAGTACAAGGTGGCGACACATCCCTCCTTGGAGCTGCCTGTGTGACAGGCCAAGGGTTCGAGGACCAGCCACCTTCAACGCTCTCATTGGGGCGAGAGGCTTCCTGATGGAACCAGAGGCCTCCCTGGGCCATGGAGCCACACACTTGGAAGGAAGGCATTTCTGTGGATTCTGGGGTCTGGTGAGCAGCCAGACCCCAGAATGGACAATTGGAAACTAAATATGCTCTACTCCGCAGCTATGTGCAGTACATGTAACACGTGGCCCTGAAATGTGGCTCCTGTGAGCGAGGAACTGGACTGTAAACCTTACTTAACTGTAATTTTAAAATGATACTAAATAAAGTTTCTGGAAAATTTAAAATGTTTGGAACAGCTTAAGGGTGTGAATTTTTTTCTTTTTTTTTAAACTTTTTTTTTTTTTTTTAAGATTTTATGTATTTATTTGTTAGAGAGACAGAGAGAGCACAAGCAGGGGGAGCAGCAGAGGGAGAAGCAGGCTCCCTGCTGAGCAAGGAGCCCGATGTGGGACTTGATCCCAGGACCCTGAAATCATGACCTGAGCCAAAGGCAGATGCTTAACCGAATGAAACACCCAGGCGTCCTGTGAGTTTGTTTTTTCAATCATGAATTTTATAAAATAGAAATCAAGCATTTCCACAACAAGTTCAGTTTAATATCTGAGCTGACATGTGCTGACGGGGGAAATACACACTGGATTTGGAAGACTGTTAGATATCTCAATGATTTTTCAGTACTGATTACATGTTGAGATGATAATATTTTGAAAAACTAGATTACCGGGTTTCCTGGGTGGTTCAGTTGGTTAAGCGTCTGCCTTCGGCTCAGGTCATGATCCCGGGGTCCTGGGATCGAGTCCCACATCGGGCTCCCTGCTCAGCGGGGAGTCTGCTTCTCCCTCTCCCACTCCCCTGCTTGTGTTCCCTTTCTCTCTGTGTCTCTCTCTGTCAAATAAATAAATAAAATCTTTAAAAAAAAAAAAAGAAAAACTAGATTACCTAAATGTACTGTTGAATTTTTTTTTAAACTAAGCTCTAGGCCCAACATGGGGCTTAAACTCATGACCCTGAGATCGCAAGTCACATGCTCTACCAACTGAGCCAGCCAGGCGCCCTCTGTGGTGTTGAAATTAATTTTACCTGTTTTTATTTTTTCAATGTAGCTACTAGAAAATTTAGAATTACACATGTGGCTCCCATTCTATTTCTTATAGTGCTGTAGAAGTAGGAATACAGGGTAGAGAAAATAAGGGTGGGGAAGAAGCCCCCACAATGAACTCAGGTCCTGATTGAGTTCTGGAGTGCAGGGTCTTTGGCGGTCAACCTGAGGACAGGTAAGGCCTTGAAAAAATTAAACATGGTGGTCCCAGTTGCCATTGTCATCCACCCAGTTCCGCAAATACTGGAGATGTGTGAGGGAACTGTGTTACAAAGTTCAACAAACCTGATTAATTTGCTATGGTAGAGGAGACCCAATGGGTGACCCAGTTTGTTAACTACCTCCCAACCTCCCAAGACCCCTAATCCCAGTGTGTGTCCAGTGCCCACCTCCTGGGTGGCAGCTCTAAGTTGGGCATGCTTCTGAGTCAACAGTCCTTAACAGCCACTAGGTACCATCCCAAAGACCATGCCATATCTTGTCACTATCCTAAATTACAAACTGCGGGCAACCCATGGCCCACACCAGCAGGGGTCAGAGTGCAAGCCAGGGCAGCTCCAGGTGGGAGAAGCACAGGAGAGGGGTAGTAAGTGTCTCTGTCTCTGTTCTGCACTGGCACATCATGGCGCCAGGACGGCCATAGCTGCCTATATTTCCCAAGAAGGGGGGGGGCAGCGGTCAGTATCAAGGCCCCAACTTTGAGTGTTGGCAATCAATCCTAACTTCTCTTCAAACACAGGCAAATAACAGGGCGGTGGGAAATTCAAGTCTAAAGTCCAACGTCCAGAGCTCCACAGGCAATTTGGGTTGGATTTCATCTGCCTTGTTCATCACACACAGTCTGTCCAGCAGACCAGCCACTCAGAGTCCATATCCATCTGCCTTCCCGGCCCAGGCCTGTCTCTCCTTCGGGAATGCCCTTCCCTGCTCCCTTGCCACCTTCAAGACCCTGGTTAGGGGGGTCTGGGTGGCTCAATCGGTTAACCCTTTGCCTTCAGTTCAAGTCATGATCCCAGGGTCCTGGGATGGAGCCCCACTACGGGCTCCCTGCTCAGCGGGGAGTCTGCTTCTCCCTCTGCTCCCCCACTTGTGCTCTCTTTTCTCAAATAAATAAATAAAATCGTAAAAAAAAAAAAAAAGACCCTGATTAAACATCGCGTCCACCCCCGCTGTGAGTCTTCCTCAACCCCACAGCCATTCTTTGGGCTTCCTCCTTTCGAGTGGGTCAGACGCTTCTTTGCAGTCCCCAAGGGAAGAAAAGGGAATTAACTTCCAGGGCTCAAGACTTTGTGTTACGTTAATCCAATGTAATCCTCACAACAGCTCGGCAAAATGGGCGGTACCCTTTCATCTCTTTACCGAAAAGGAAGCCAGGCCTCGGAGAGGTTCCAGATCCCCCGAGGTCACACAGCTCTGCTGAACCGAGCCGGAACTTGGGAGCGCAGGCCGGGTCATTTTCCAAAAGCTTCGCTGCTCTAGCTCTTGTGCTCCACAGGCTGGACGTTTCCATCTCGCTCGAAGGGAGCGTTTCGTTCATAAAAGCCCATGCTTGGAAACATTGGTCTAGTATTTTATATACACACTATGCTAGACTATTACGTTGGTCTGTGTACTGCTTTGTTCAATTTATATATATATATGTGCCACACTAATATTATACGTCATGGACATATATATGTACGTTACAGTGCCTTGTACAGTATATAGTATCGCTTAGGTTGAAGTTCTGGCAAAAGGAAGTGGCGAGCTCGGCGCCATCCACCGACCCCCGAGAGCGGGTCCCCGGCCACTACCCCTGCGTCGGTGAGGGCCGACCCCCTGCGTTGCGTTCCCGCCGCAGTTGCACTGCATTGCCCTTTTCACGGGAAAGCAGAGGCCGGTGCAAACGTAAGCCCGGGAGACAGAGGGCTGACTGCGCGGCCGCGCGCCCGGCAGGGAGCAGCGCGCACCACCGCCGCGCTCCACCGCCGCGCGGCCACCAACAGAGCGCGGCCACCAGCAGAGCGCGGCCCCGCCGGAGCGCAGTGGGCGCGCGTGCCCGGAGCGCAGTGGGCGCGCGTGCCCGGAGCGGAGTGGGCGCGCGTGCCCGGAGCGGAGTGGGCGCGCGTACCCGCAGCGTCCCCAGCGTGCGCGGCCTCCCTCCGCCGGCGTGCGGCCCGAACGGCTGCGCGGCGCGGGTACTCACGGCGTGGCTGGGTACGCGGGTCGCTACGGTCCCGGCGCTCAGGCCCCGGCGGCTGTAGAGCGGGGCGTTCCTCGTCTGGCCCTGGGCTCCGGCGCCTGCTGGGGCTGAGCCCGGGGGCGCCGAGCGGGGCAGGAGGCCGGCAGCCGCGCGGCGCCCAAGCGTCCACATGCTGCTCCCAGTGTGCGGCCGCTCCGCCCTCCCGCTCCGGGGACGCCGCGGCGACACCTGGTGGCCACGGGTGGCAGGCGTCGCGGTTCGGCTCTGCGCTCAGGTCCCCTCTTCTGTCGACTGTGGGAAATGGCCCGAGGTTAGACCTCAGCGAGAACTTCCCAGCATTCCGCTCTGTCTGTTTTTAACACAAATGGAGAGTGCGCTTTGTGCAAAGCACAGGGCTTGCCCCTTGGGCAACTTGTGAATGCGTAACCAAGGTCCCTGACCTCGGGGACTTCGACCTAGTGACGCACTGCTGCAGAATTCTGTCTAGGAAGGATTTGCGAGCTGCAGGCTTGCTGTGAACTGGATGGGGTGCAGATCTTGAAGCTGCTTGTCTGTAGTAGGTTATAGCAGTTAGGAGCGTGCGGACGGGACTTGGATTGTCTGGTTTACATCCAAACTCTACTTCCTAGCCGTGTGACCAGTGGGCAAGTTAATTCCCTTCTCTGTGCCGCATCTGTAAAATGGAGTTTATAAAAATTTCTTCTTAGGGTTGTTTTAAGGCAATTTAGTAGGTGTACTTATTTTGTCTTGAATAAGCTGGTTTCATACAAGGCAAAATCAGTCTTTTTTTTTTAAATTCAATTAGCCAGCATATAATGCATCATTAGTTTTTGATGTAATGTTCAATGATTCATTAGTTGCATATTACACCCAGTGCTTATCACATCACGTGCCCTCCTTAATGCTGATCACCCAGTTACCCCATCCTCCCACCAACCTCCCCAAATCAGTCTTTTTTAAAGATTTTTTTTTTTAAAGAGTTTATTTGACAGAGAGAGACACAGCAAGAGAGGGAACACAAGCAGGGGTAAAGACTTTTTTTTAAAACTAATCTGTGTACCCAATGTGGGGCTTGAACCTACACCCCTGAGATCAAGAGTGGCATGCTCCACCAACCGAACTGGCCAGGCACCCCCGAAATCAATCTTTTATTTTTATTTTATTTTTTTTAAGATTTTATTTATTTGCAAACGAGGGAGTGGGGGGGGGTCAGAGGGAGAGGAAGAAGCAGACTTTCCGCTGAACAAGGAGCGCGATGTGGGACTCGATCCCAGGACCCTGAGATCATGACCTGAGGCAAAGGCAGAGGCTTAACTGACTGAGCCACCCACACGCCCCCAAATTGATCTTTCTTATATATGTATTATATGATACATTATGTAGTAGAAATATAAATTATATATAATTATATAATCAATATAAAAACGATTATTATATAATATATAAACAGTGTTATAAAATTGGTATATAATTATTAGCATTAACTATATAATCAATATGATATAATTATATATAAACATATGTATTTCTTGGAGAAAGAGATCTGACCTGACTCATCCTGTACCCTCTCCATGTTCCCTGTACTTTTGTCACACTTCCTAGTCCTTCACCTTGCTGTGCCCTGCTGTGTCTTAGGCCTTTGCTCTTGCTGTTCTTCTTAAACACTCTTCCTCCAGCTGATCACAGGGGGGCCCTTCTCATCCGCAGGCCTCAGTCTGCATGTGCCCTCCCTAAAGAGCCCTTCTCTGACCAATGTACCTAAAGGAGACTTCTCCCTCCATCTGGTTTCCCTCTGGCACTTCCGTCCATTGATTTCCTCCACAGTGATGAAGGATCTGGAAGGCAGGCAGGCCAGGAGGCCAAAGGCGCCCCCCACCCCCCAAGCGGAAACCATCCTTAAAAGGATTTTACACTACAATGGAAGGAGCCCTCCACCCTTTCCCATGTGATAGATAGGTGACAAAAACCTGATTGGAGGATAGGCACGGAGAGGGTTAATCAGATTAAAACAGCCCATAAAACCCCCTAGACTTAGAAACTCTGGTGGCAACCCTTGCAGGTCCCCTCCCTCCTGGCTGCCTTGTACTATCACTTTCCTAGCACTCAGTAAGCCTCGTTTTGCTGCCCACCGCTCTGTCTGGTCTACCTCTTCATTCTTCGACCAAGGAACGGGGTGGGGAAGCACCAACAAAGGAAAAAATCCTGTAACAATAGTATGTTTCCCAAATGGCAAATACATTGCTTTGTACCTGCTAAACTGAACGTCTGCCTCACTAGACTATAGGCTCCTATAGGCCCCGTGTCTGTTCTGTTCACCACTGTGTCCGCAGTACTGGGCATGGAGCTGGGCATGGTGCAGGGTAAGTAAGGTGCTCAGAAACTGTTGGCCAGATGAAGGAACGGATGAATAACCCTGCTCTGACCTGCCACATAAGCTTTACCTGTAGAATAGGGATAATAGGGGTACTCACCCCGTAGTGTGGCATGAATTAAATGACAGTGTACTAACTTTTTGGTAATGGTACCTGGCTCATAGTAAGATCTCAACAGTTACTCCTTTCTCTGTCATTGAGTCTTAGGCTCAACTCTGACCCACTGGAGGCTACCTTGGGCTAGTGATTGAACCTCTTGGGCCGACAGAGTGTATTCCATCAAGTTATCTGTTGAGTGCCTGCACACTGTTCTAATGCTGGAGATACGGCTGTGAATAAACAAAACTCCTCGCTCTCTTGGAACTTACATACTAAGATCTCCAATGGCCCAGATATTTTCTCTTAGATTCTGCATCACGCAGCGGCTGGAATGATCTGTCGCTGAGTTTTGAGCAGATGAAGAACGATAATGGCCTAGCCTAATGACTTAGGAGGGGAGGGGGCTGTCCTCGGCTTAATTTCATCCAGTTCCAGCAGGTTTCTAAAATAATTTGGCGGATCTCCTTGACCTATGCATGTTGGAGAGTTTGCTTGATAAGGAACAACAAGTGATGGTGTGACTGTAGCTCTTCAGTCTGAGAGCACGTCAGAATCTGAGGAGGTAGAGGACTGCCAAGGGAACCCAGGCCTCCTGCCTTCCCGGGAGGTCCTCTTGATATACAGGCGCCAAAACCGGCAGTTTCCCTTCTTTCGGGAACCTCAGTCCCAGGAAGGGCTCTGATTGGCTCTGCTGGGATCATAGGCCCGCCCCTTGGAGCAATCACTGTTGCTAAGGGGATGGGGTAAGCTGATTGGTCAGGCCAGGGGGCCAGGGCATATTAGCCGACCAAGCGGGTGGGAGAGTTTGCGCGGGAGTTAAGAAACGAGTGTTACCCCGGTAATTCCACAGTAGATGCTAAAAACTTAGGTCTCCAACTTCTCACGCATCCTTGCCTGGCCTTGGGCTTCAGCTCCGTGCTCTGACTCAGAGCCTAACAATTTACCGCCAGGAGGTGACTTCAGCTCTGGGGAAATGCAAGTCCGTTGCATGTGCTTGGATTAATTGATGAGAGATTTCTCAGGATGTTCCTCTCTGACAGTTGCCAAGGGCAAATTTTTCTCTGATGAGGCATGAGAAATAGCAGTATGTCCCAGGAGACTGATTATGGGACCAGAATCTGAATCCAAGCTCTGGCATGCCATTTGATACACGACTTTTGAGTTTAAAAGAGATTAAGTTCATATAATAGTTAACAAATGAATTGATCAATTATTCCAAAATGTTTTTGACAATAAATGTGAAACCTGTAAATTATTTAAATAATGTGCTAATTATTGAAACCAGAAAAAAAAGTAGGTTTGGATTTATATGCTAAGAAAGGCTCCCTGCAGGGTCCCTTGGGGCCAAGTGTGATTGTGTTTGATCCCTGAGCTGACAGATGAAGAAAGCCTCTGGCAGGGGCTTCTCACTGTACCAAAAAACTTTTTTTTTTTTTAAGATTTTATTTATTTATTTGAGAGAGCGAGAATGAGAGATAGAGAGCACGAGAGGGAAGAGGGTCAGAGGGAGAAGCAGATTACCCGCCGAGCAGGGAGCCCAATGCGGGACTCGATCCCAGGACTCCAGGATCATGACCTGAGCTGAAAGCAGTCGCTCAACCAACTGAGCCACCTAGGCGCCCTGTACCAAAAAACTCTTAATGGAGACTGAGAGGAGAAGAGGAGAGAAGCATGTGATATATCTGAAGTATCACTTTAGAGGGTCATTCTTGTTGAATTAGTGTTAATATACCAATAGCCTTAAGAAGCAGCCTGATGCAGTTGGAAACCGTAGATTTTGGGGACTGAGATGTATTGCAAGGCAAAGACATTAACATAATTAAACATAATTCTCCTATAATATATATACTGAGCATGTGTCAAAGATTAATTAATTAGAGAGGCGTTATGGATGGAATTGTGTTCTTGCAAAATTCATATGCTGCCGTTCTAACTTCTAGTACTTCAGAATGTGGTTATATTTGGAGAAAGAGCTTTTCAAGGCGCCCCTGGTGTGGCATTTTTTAATGGTCACCCTAGAGAATTAGGCAGCCAGCAGGAAAGCACAGCTGGTTTAAAGAGGGTGGAAGATTGATCTGGAGTAAGAGTACTAAGTCAGACACACAATTAGTGTCCTTCTGGTATGTACAACGCCAGCCTCTGGATTACCTTCCTACACAAGAATCATTTGCATCTTATGAGTTTTCTACAAGGTTACATTTTTGAGATCTAATTTAATAGCAGATAACAAGTCAAATGTAGTCGCTGTCCTGGAGCAGGTTTCTCAACAGCGACACTACTGACATTTCGGACGGGACAGTTCTTTGTCGTAGGGGCTGTCCTGCGCATTCGGCGTTCCGCGGCATCCCTTGCCTCTGCCCACTAGATGGCAGTAGCATCTGCTCCCCCATCCAGTTGTGACAAAAATGTTTCCAGACTTTACCAAAGTCCCTAGAGGGAGGCAAAATTATCCCCCATTGAGAACCACTGTTCTAGTATTACTTTGAATTCAAGACCCAAAGCCTTATTTTTGCCTTACTTGCACGTGTTAGATAAATGTTGTTAGCAGTGTTCAGATCCCTGCTCTGGCCCTGGCTGGGTGTCTTTGGTCTATTTTTTAACCTCTCTGAGTTTGTTTCTTCTATGAAACCTAGTGAATACACCTTTAGCTTGGAGGTTTGTGTGAGGATTAAGTGAAACTGTATGTGCCAAACATAGACATTAGCAAACTCTAGTCACACACTTGGCCT